TTTACAAACTATGATTTTGCTATACTTGCCACACACAGGAAAACCTGTATTTTCTTAAGTAAGAAACTTAACAGGTAAGAATTGTGATGTTCAATTGGTTAAGATGCTAATCACAGAATGTTTAAAGACTTGTTTTTGCTGTAGCTTGATGTAATTATGAATTATTGTCCATGTCTTACAGCAAATGTACATGTCAGGGTAAATAATAGTGTTGCACTTTACCCCTTTCAATGATCTGTAAGAAGGTCAAACCACCAACAGAAGGAAGGCAAATAATTCAAATGGTATGACAAGATCAATGTTAAATATGTCCTTGGGTAGCTTCAGAATGGCACAGAATCACAATCATCATCAGATCATTGGAACAGTTTTTGAAATAAACTAGAATAAGTCATGTAAAATGCAAATTGAGAAGTTCTTACGGTAAAATTGCACAAATTTCAATGGTAACTGCACAAGGCTAAATGAGTGTGCTGGGAAGCAACAGCATATGAAGCAGAATGTTATAACATAATGTTGTCAAGTTTAGTGCAATAGTTACAGCAGAATTATTGGCAGAAAAACCAATGTGTGTGCAGTTTCGAAGTATAGTAAATATCCAGATTCTTCGATATGCTATCACAGAATATCTGTAACATGTAATGTAACAAAATGTAATTTCACAAGAAACCCTGTAGTATCTTTACCATTAAATGATTTTAGCCAATGAGTGTCAACTTGTTGCTCCTAAACCATGAATACCATCACAATCATGCTTGTTTCTGCCCTTAGTTTCCATTGTCAGCCAGAACGTGCCACATGTGCACCTTACCTGGTTAGAGCACTCAGCAACTATCTTTTCCTCAGTGTTCTCCAATCTAACATGAGCCAAGTCTGCTGGTCCGACCTGCTGGTTCCACCAGCAGCTATATTTTTCAATTCATTTATATGTTGTTTTCTTCTCCATTCTAAATGTTCCGACTTGCTGGGTAAGGTTGCAAGAGTGCTGGAAGGTTGCTGCTATCTAATGGAAGTTCCCATTCTCCGTGTATGAGCTAAGACCGTGTTCATCAACAGAATTATCTGAACACTAGGGAGGGAGACGGACAGAGCCCATGCCTATCCTTAAATTATGTTGAGACTGGGGTGGACAAAGTCGGAAGTCACACAACACCAGGTTATAGGCCAACAGGTTTTTTTGAAATCACAAGCTTTCAGAGCACTGCTGCTTCATCAGGTGACTTTGTCACTTCACCTGATGAAGGAGTAGTGCTCGAAAAGCTTATGATTTCAAATAAACCTGTTGGACTATAACCTGATGTTGTGTGACTTCTGACTTTATTCTTAAATGCATTAGATGCCAGCTAGGAATGGAAATGCTGTCCAATTGTAATGTATGTTTGAGGTGAACTGACTCAGCATATACCCATGACCTTCCTGGCTTATTTGGCTCAGTACTGCATATAGTGGTATCTTTACTGTCTTACCATTGCATGAATTCTAACAGCCAATCCCAAAACCTGCTGCTAAATATTAACTAACATGTACAGCTCACTAAGAAAGTAACTGTTTTGAAGTTGCCACTACAGTTAGTTTTAAGCACCAACATATTCTCTCAAACATCTGAATAGTTTTAATTTGAATGTATTTTACAGTGTCATTTCATAAATTACAATATTCATTACCTGTTTATCATGACATCTGTATCCAGTTTAGGATTGATTATGATTATTATCTGTTTGCTGTATTCTAAGAGATTTTAAAACTGATTTTTGGAGGATTAAGATGACCAATTTCTGGTGTATTTTGGGACAGTGATTTGTGCTGAGGTAGAACATTCTGGAAGCATTATCAGAACCAAGTCCTCAGCAGACCCATACATTGCTGCAGGAGACACAGAATATTATCAGAAATGGGACCTTGGCTAAGTTTTCCCTTAGTTAGACACTGGCGACGTATACTGCCCTTCACTAATACCCTACTTGAAACTAGTTAACTCACCAATGAACCACAACTACACCAGTATAACAGTAAAAGCCATTTATTGATTATTTAAACTGATATTGGAATACAACAAATAACATAATTGACAATTTTCTTAACTTTGTGTGCCCAGTTTTGTTTGGGATAAAGTTAAGTGAAATAGGGATAGAGAATACTGTGTTAACATTTGCAGGTAGGTTACAGTTTGATGGTTATTACAAATTAATTGTAAACATGATGCAAATGTTGAGAACACACAATGTTTCCATTACTAATACAGGGCAACGTTTTTCCCCCAGAATATTACTGTGCCCATTTTAAGGTATGAATAGCCTGAAATGAAAACAATATTTGTTCTACCAACCTTCTAGTTTTGTTAACAGTGTAGAATCATTCAATCCCAGTTGATCTCAGAATTAGATTTTTTTTCATTCTAAAAATTGAACGTAGATCAACAGTTTATTAGACAATAACTGTAAACAAATTATTTTAGGTTGAGTTTTGCTTCATTAAATAAGTGTACAGGTAGAAACCCTTGTTACTTGTAAACATTAAAGCATTATGACTGAAATGGTGTGGCAGAGGCTGAAACTGACAGGCAAACTTAACTAAAGCACTGTTTTACAAAAAAGGAACAATTATTCATTCATTCATTCAGGTAAACAGTTCCTTTCTTTCACACAGATCAAAATGAAGCACAAAATCATTGTTGACTGTTACAGTAAAAATAGTGATTTAATGAAAGAGAACAGGGTCTGGGATCCCAGGATTTCTGGAATACCTACTACATTACAAGACAAATATGGATGAGGAATTCCATTTGCTGTTCTTAACCCATTCAGACAGAGAAATTTTAAAAACTGTAGTTTCCCCCCAAAAACCTGTAGCTTTATCCAAAACAGAATTTGGCATTATTTCTTAAATAATTCCAAGGCACCTGCCTCCCTTACAATATTTAGAAGTTTAATCTGCAACTAAAATTGTGGCCTCTATTTTTCTTTCACAAGAGCTGTTCCAAGCATCCTTTTGTTTTTGAGTGTTGTCCAGTTAAAAGTGAACAATTCTGGGCTTTGGTTTATCGTGACTGTGATTCTTGCTGTTTCAACGCTATTGTTTTCTTAATTCTTAACAGAGAACCTTTATTTACAAAGCAGTGTATTTGGTTTAGTGTTTGCACTAATCAGCCACCTGTACCAGTTTGTCCCTTGGTTTCAGATTTTGGAACTTTTGTGTTTGATTTTAAAATGTAGCACTGATGCAAATTTAGGGGAAATCATTATCAATAATATCACAGGAAGTGCTTTCACTGTTCTGTATTTAAATTATGAAACATTATTAGGTTTGATTTGTATTTTTTAAATATAGAATTAGATTAGCTTTGTTTTCTTTAATATAGAAACTGGACCAAATTATATTTAAAGTGTTTCATTTTATATGGTATTTTGGCACAAGGACCTAATGAACTGACTCTTTTCAAAAATGAATGTGCTCATTAAATTTGTAAGCATACAATGGTTTTGCACAGACACAGACAGTAGCAGGTATAAGGTTTGGTTTCTATGCATGTTCACTGTAAAGCTACAAAACCTTAGAATAATAAAAAGATGAAATCTTAGCCAGAAATCTAAGCCCTCTGCGCATTATATTAGGACATTTTAATAAGTTTCCCTTTCGGGAGCTTTTAATTTATCTGTGGGTAATTTGATTTATTTTGTCTCTGAAATGCATCTGAGCAGTTTTGTGTCACTTTCTTAACTAGAGCCGACGCCGACTGTGTCGAGGTTTAGAGGGCGGTCTCCAGTGCAGCTCGATTTTATTGGGGGTGTCTAGCCGATGTTTGGACGATATTTTGTTGCATTGCTGACTTGCTGCATGACACCCGAGAGCGGTCCATAATCATGTGTAATATCAACGAGGCACAGTCCACAATCCCGCCGTTAGGAAATTGTAATGCGCCTGGTGCCGGCTCTTTTTGTTTTGTCCTATCCCCCCAGGTAAATCGGGCTGTCTCCTGATCGTTCGATCAGAAACAATTCAAAACTTCGCTCTTCAGAATGAAAAAGCGAGAACGATAGTTACAGCGAGAACACTGATGCCAGTTCGGAGAGTGTTTTAAACAGCTGATTAACCAAGATCAGAATCATTTCGAAAGGACCTGCCCACACGATCGTTGTGAAACTAAACAGCGCTTGTATAAACACACACTCAACATTAAGCTGAAAGCCGATTCACTGCGAGAATAAAGAGGCACCCAGTCTCAGTGGATGCTTTGGTCATATATATTTATGTTAACACGTTCATTAAATTGTGTTTCAGAATAGTCAAAACTTCAGCCCCACGGTGATATCAAGGGCAAACCGTGCGCGCGTGTCTGTTTTGTTTCTCTGTTTGAGTCGACCCTCAAGTTTTACACACACACACAAACGGCAGCCGATTTAAACTCATAATCCGCGCTCCCTTGTTTAAAGTGAGGGTGACCGGGGGGGGGGGGGGGGG